ATCCTGGAATTCACCTTGTAAACCAGGCTGGACTCCAACTCACAGAGATTCACCTGCCTCAGTCTTCTGAGTGCTGAGATTGGTTGCATAGGCCTGAATTTTTTTTTTAAGTGTGTGTGTGTGTGTGTTTGACAGAGAGAGACTGAGAGATTGATTTTCTTGTTTTGTATGATTTTCCAAAAATCATTTAGTGATGAGACTTTATGTAATGTATGTTCTTGTTGCATTTATTGACAATCTGGCTGTAGATATATAGATTTATTCTTGGATTCCTTACTCTGTTTCATTGGTCTTTGTGGCTTGTTTTTAATTCCAGTATCATGCTGGGTTTTGTTTTTTGTAGTATTATTAGTGTTGCTTTGTAGTGTGTTTTTGTTTGTTTGGTTTGTTTTTTTTAAGACAAGGTTTCTCTATGTATCCCTGGCTGCCTTGAAACTCACTCTGTAGACCAGGCTGGCCTTGAACTCAGAGATCCATCTGCCTCTGCCTCCAAGTGCTGATATTAAAGGCCTGTGCCACCATCTACAGGCTTTGTAGTGTGTTTTAAAAGCCAAGTATTGGAACCTCAAGATTTTTTTTTTTTCTTTTTGCTCAGGAGTTTTTCATTGTTCAGTCTTGTGAGTGCCAGATTTTTAATTCTTTCCTACTTCTATGAAGGATGTCAATATTAATAGTAATCTCTTTGTATTGAGATCACTTTGGGTGCTGTGGGTGTTTTGGCAGTGTTCTAGTCCATGAGTGTGGGCCATTTTTCTGTTTTGTGGCCTGTCTAGTTTTACCAGGATTTTGTATTCAGTGTAAAAGATGGTTGATTTCCTTGCAGGTATTTTGGATTTTGTAGCTTTCATAAGTGGTACTACTTTCTTAGTTCCTTTCTGAACAGGGATGTTCTTAGTGTATGACAAAGATTCTGGTCTTTGCATGTCGTTCTGTCCCTGGGACAGTACTGAATTTATGAGTTCTAACGACTTCTGATGTTGGTCAGTGGTCTATGTTGCCTACCTGTCTTGATCAGTTAAGCAGTCAGGCCTTCTGTCTGCAGATGGGTAACTTGCCCTCTTCCCTATTTCATGTTCTTTATTTTGTTCTCTTGCCCGTTTTCCCCTTCAACGTGGTTGAGAGAGGTTCAGCCAGTTTACATTTTTTCTTTAATATTAAAAGAATTTGTGTACTTGATAGGGTAGTACCTTGTACGTGGGATGCGGTCTTAGTCTCACAGGGAGGTAGAGTGGGAGAAGTGGCTTTGGGCTAACGGGAAGTGTGACGTATTCCCAGGTTGGCCACAGCCACCTTCTGACCCCCATGTGAGATAGTGAAAAGGAAGAGAATGGGACAGATAAAGAGCCAGCCATCTCCACGGAGTCCCAGTCCCCTCCCCCTGCCGCCTTCCAGTAAAGATTTGTGTGCGGGTCATTTCTTAAGTTCCTCTCTAAGGCAAATAAAGGCTTCTTTTGGCCTCAAGGCCTTGAGTGTATGAGTATGTGTGTTCTCTGAGGGAGTTAGCTTGCAGCAGCTGCAGCAGCTGGCCTGCCCCGTTAGTTCAGTAGACAGTGCAGTTGATGCATGGAGTCTGGTAGAGTGGTGAGGGCAAAATGAGTGTATGAAACCGATGAGACGCAGGGCTCCGGGCCCAGTGAGGAGCGCTGTCTCTTCCCTGAATGCCCCCCTTCTATGGCTGAAGTGGGAGCTGATTTCAGTTGGTTTCAAATGCTTGCTCATTGTTCTTAGTTCCTCCTGAAAAAACAGCCTCTTTCTAATAAGTAGAGATGCTCTTGTTTAGTGGTGTACTTCTTTAGTCACAGCCCCTGAGAGGCAGAGGCAGGAGGATCTCTGTGAGTTCAAGGCAGAAGTCTGGTTTGCAGTCTGCTAGGCCAGCCAGGACTCTGTAGAGAGACCCTGTCTAAAACAAATAGGCTCTTTTATAGTGTTAATTAATGCATGTGTCTATACACAGAGACTAGGCTTACCCTTCCCCTCTGTTACCTGAGTCCTGCACAGTCCTCTGTTGTACCCGTTGCACATTTCCACCACCCACCACCGAGGCAAACAGCCTCACTCCTTGTTCATGTATTAGCTCGCTGCTCTTGAGCTGTAGTGACCACACAGCCCCAGATACGTAGTCTGCCCCTACAGTTTCTCTGCCTTTGCTCCGTACTTCACTTTGATAACTGAGGAGAAAGTTCTTGTTCATTTCAGCAGTTGCTTGACAGGGCCAGCATCTTTGTTCTCAGATTGGTTCCAAGCCTTTCCTTTCTTTTTCCTCCTATGTTTTTTCCACCAGGAGTAGGAGACAGCCAGCCATGGGGGGGATGGGTGAGTATACAAGGGTGGGGTGTGTGAAAACTGCAGGGCAGGCTGAAGAGGAATTTGATTGCCTTTAATTTGTAGTTTTCTGAAGGGAGAAGCCATTGCTTCATAATGTTGGCACTTTCCCCTTCGAGAACTAACCATCTCTACGATGACATCTTTCACCAAACTGGGTTGTTTCTGCATTTCTGTCTCACATTTTGAAGTTTATTCCTATATGCATTACTGCTATTATAATTGAGATCTCTTGGTTATAGTTTACAATTGGCATTATGGTAGAAAGGAAGGCTTTTGCTTATTGTGTATATAAATTATTTCTGATTCTTATGGCTATATAAGCTATTAGCACTTAAATTGTTGTTTGATATTCACGTCTGCATTCACTACCCCAAATCGTCGGATTCCTAATCCTCCTGTAGCACGTTGCAGAGTTCTGTGTCCACAGTGGTTAGCTGAGTGGTCTGTGTCCTCCCTTCCCTTTCATCTTGCATAGATCACAGCAAATGGTAATTAAATCAAACAAGGTTTTCATACCCAGTCAGCATTTGTTGGTGGCTTTGAAAACGCCCAGAAGATAATTTAGGTGAACTCTTTATCAGACAGACTGTGCTTTTCAGAGCTGATGGTTGCCTTAATGTGGGCTGTAGAGGATGCCTATGACCTGCAGTCAGACCTCACTGCTCACTGTGGAAAACCTGTGGATCATGGAGGACGTTTGAGTTAACCTTGTATTTATCCTTTGGAATTGAAAGATGAGCAGATTTTTATGAATCAGTTAGTGCTTTCCTGAATGTATTCTCTGTAAAACGTTTGATCTTTACCCTGGCATCTCTGCCTTAAGGATTTGAAATCTATTTTAGATTTCAAGGTCTATTACTTACCCTGAGCATGGAACAGATGAACCATAAATCCAATATCTGTTAACCTTTGTGACGTTATCTTTTATTGCTATTTTTTTTCTTTTTTTTTCCTTCTAAATTCATGTCTTCTTACACTGAGAGGAAAGGGCCATTCATGTTACTGGTTTCATCTGTTTTTCCTCTTTTGAGTCATTGCCTTTTGAGTGCAGTGACGGCCTGTGGTTGTGGTAGGAATTGGGTATGGAAATAGATAATTGGCATAGTACGTTGACTTGTGAAGTGAACCCTTTTATTGACTTTAGTGAAGGGCAACTCCATATATAGAATGTAATCATAAGCACTCCTGTGACTTTTCTAGTGTGTGGAGATTCCCTGGCACCATCATTGTGTATATACATACACTTCTGTGTAGAACAGTGTTCTCATAGGCTATGGAGACGTCTCAGGCCGCTCACCTCAGTCACAGAGGACCTCCGACTTTCGGGTCTTTGATACAGGGTTGGTGTTAGAAGGATGTAAATCGAAACTGTTTTCTCTGATTATTTGGTGGGGAGTTGATAGCTTTTATTGAGTCCTTACTGTACTCTAGGCGTTATGGTTGGGCTCGACACATGTAGGCATTGTGGTAGGCAGCCAGTTCTGTAGTTTCACCTTTACCACGCTATACAGGACAGCATCTCATTTTATTGATGAACTTGAAAGTTGGGTTGAATAAACTATTTCTTATCTTGTGTGTCTTCTATCTTTACTACAGGAAGAGGAAGGTTTAGCAGCCTCAGTTTGTGTTGACACTTAGGCAAAGTCTGGCGTGGCCTGAACCACAGACTTGGGAAGTGACACATGGTGGTCACAAGGGTGCATGCTACATAGCACACTCTGACCTGTGTGCTCTTCTGGAATTTTCCTGAGTGGTTGTGCTAAGTGGGTCATTTGGATAGATCCTGTGCCATTTACCTTAAGCATGGCTAGATTATGCAGTCGCAAACAATTATCAGGGGTATTAGCTTGTGTGTGTGTGTGTGTGTGTGTGTGTGTGTGTGTGTGTGTGTTTGCCTTTCTAAGATTGTGTCTTGAGCATGCTGTCATTTCCCCCCCACCCCCCGCAGTGCTCCAGCACACCTGGCCAGGCATCCATCTTTAGGGCCCAAGTAGAGGCTGAGGTCTTGCGCTGGCTGTCACTCTGCCAGCACTGGTTCTGGATAGCGGTGACAGTGACCTTGAGAGCAGTGCCCATGCACACCTGTGTCGTCGCTTCCTGTGCCGACCTGTGACTGTCAGGGCCGTTTTGTGGCTTGGCTCCTAACCCTGCAGGGCTACTCATGCATGGATTCCTAATACAAGCAAGACTTTTTGCCAGAGGGTCCAGCCCAGCAGACAACTCACAGGATGCCACTGACCCCTGGCTGTGTTCTCCATGTCTGGTGCACGTCCCAAGTGACAACTCAGGGAAGCGACTTACTTCTCTCTCCCCAGAATGGCGTGACTCCCTAGAATAGAGCGTCTCTTTTTTAGGCCACTTTCAGTCTTTTCCTGTCACTTGTGGTAAGAAAGAAATGGAATTAATGCAAATCCTGGTATTTATAAAAATACTAATGATTTTCCAAATATGAAATTATTGATAACCGTTCAGCACCTCTGTATAGCCTGCATATATGTATGCGGGCATACTTTATAAAAACATGTTTGCATGTATGTGGTGCTTGGGATTGGCCTAGGGCTTCATGCATTCTGGGTTAGGACACTACCACTGAGCTGCATTCTCAGCTATGAAAACATTTGACGTGGGAAATTCCAAAACCTGGTAGTGTACTGCAGTTGCAAGGTTCTGGGACTGAGCAGCCTGCAGAGCCTCTCATGCCTGACTTGGCACGAAGTCCTGAGGTGCTTAGAGGTGGTGGGTGAATGCTCTGTACCGGGGCTGATTCCTCACGAGTACAGCTTTAGAATCTGGCATTCTCCACTGTTGCAGGGCCTGCAGGTAACTGCACACTCCCCTGCACTCTGAACCAACAGTTCCTAAGACAGTTCTTTATCTGCGTGCTTAAGGGGAGGTGGAGGGTGGTAGATTCCTGTGATAGAACCATATAATCTGAAGCAATATATTGTTAGGTTATAAAATGCTGGACGTTGGGACATCATTTTGTCATTTTTCTGCCCAGGAGTGTGCTTATCATACCAAATTCTGGGGAAGGATGGGAACTGGAGCCTGTTTCCTCTGAGATCTGAGCTGTCTTCTATTTGCATGATCCTTTGAGTTTCTAACATTATCTATGTCCTCCTAAGAAATGCAGGTTGGCTGCTGGCAGGATTCCACAGCCACTGCGGTGTTTTCTTTTTACTTTAGAGCTGATATGAACTCCCATGACTTTTAGCATTTGGTTGGAGATTTGACTTTACTGTCAGAGCTCATTCCTGGGGGCTGGCTCAGTAGTTATGTGTCGCTGTTTACTTGTAAGTATCCTGTTAGTTGAGCTATTACGACAACCATTCACGTTTACTTTTGAGCGTTTGCAATTTCTTTTTGTATGAGAATCAGCTAACACTGATTTCTTCTCTCCCTTTTCTTTTAAAGACTTTCAGCTGAACTCTCATCTCTCAACGCTGGCAAACATTCATAAGATCTACCATACCCTTAACAAGCTAGTAAGTCAGCCTTTAAAGATACAGTCGCCAGCTTTGAAGCAGTGCAAGTGTGTTTGATAAAAGAATTTATACTGTGGCTATCACTTGCTTATGACAGTACTGAGTTTTCGTGCTTACTGTAGGGTGTGCGATTTCTTGGTGTTAATGATCGTATTTCTTACAGAATCTGACAGAAGACGTTGGCCAAGACGATCACCAAACAGGTAAATGCAAACAACACTACTGATATTTACGTAAACACGCTGAGATGTAACTGTGCAGGGGAAGCAGTGGCCACAGATGTTTTATCCCCCTAGTGCCCTCAGTTAACAAGTTGCCACTGTTGAGGCCCAGGGGTAAAAAGGCAGTCAGGTTCTAGCTCCTTCCCAGTAGGGACTCTATTCCTGAGGTGTCTGATGTCTTCAGCGGGTCTTGAAGATTTTCCTGTAGCTTTCAGGAGCCATCCTTTTCCTTGCCTAAGTGTCTCAGCTCTTTTTGAAAGGCCCTGGAAAGGTGTGTGTCAGTTACAGGGTGGAATGGTTTGAAACTTGGGAAGGTGTTTGTGTTTTTTTTGTCCTGAGGGGGTCCTGAGTGAATTAAAAAACAAATAATCGAAGTAGCTGACTGCTCCCAGGTATGGTAGATATGCGGGAGAGCATACACAGAAGCATCTGGAAGGGGCCAGACTGAACATGACCTGCTAACTGAACTGGGCCATGAGAGGAGAGAGCGGTGGGGAAGAGAGGTCAGGCAGGGAACCAGGAGCAGGGGCTAAGAGGGCAAGAGGCCGAAAGAAAGACCGTAGCCAAAATGGCTGGGTTCTAGGGAGAGCAGCTGAGGAAGGGACAGCCTAGCCTAGTCCTTGGCTAGGAAAGTTTAGGGTAGGGTTGGGGTATTCCAGTCAGGAGGACCCTGTTACCTCCTGGGAGAATCTGGTAGACAGTGTCAGCTTTTCTATGTTAATAGGCACCTCAGGTAGCCCTTTGTCCCAGGCTTGAGACCTAATCTTGGGAAAGTGGAAATCTTAACACTGCTTTGGCCCCGAGGTCCTTAGGGTTTGCCTTAATTCAGTCCTCTGCTGTGAGTTCAGGGTATGGTCTCAGTGTTTGCCCATCTGACTGGCACCTAGGTCATAATGCAGCCAACCAGGGGACCAGACTCAGAACCACCTCTCTAAGCCAGTTATGATTATAAAGTGCAGGAATGCACACCTGATCTACAGTTACAAAATTTGTGGCAAACATGCTTTGAATGTATTGTAGAATAGAAAACTCACCACCGCTCCATGTCAGCTGATTCAGGCTGCTGTGACAGAGCACCCTAGAGCAAGTATCTTATAAACAGTCACGTCTGACTCCCAGTTCTGGAAGCTGGAGAGGCAGGTGGTAGATTGCGGTCTGGTGAGGGCCCCTGGAGGGGTGGGGGCTCCCTGCAGGGTTCTTTTATAAAGGTTCATTCTCAGTCATTGAGGTTTCAGCCCATTACCCAGTCAGCCCCAAAGACCCCTGCTCTCTATCCCAACACTTGAGGATTAGATGTCAGGGATGAGTTTTGGAGTGACACATTCAGGCCACAGCTTGTTGAAGACATTTGAACAGCACCAAAGTGAATGGAGTGAAACTTGGTGGTCTTCACTCTCCTAATCTGACACTCTGTTCAGTAGTACTCTCTAATTTTTTTTCCTCCCAGATACTCTGACACACACACGTTTGTATCTTCCGAAGCGTCCATGGGTTCTACATTTAATGGTAGACTGTTGACATGTAGGTCTCACCCTCATCCTCCCCTCAGATCGATTCAGTTAGGTGACATGGAGGGTGAAGAAATGGCCCCTGGAATGCACTGGCTTTTCTGTCAGTGCTCAGACGGTTTAGGCTGGCGCGCCTGCTGCATGCTCTCCACCGGCCCTGCTCTGCTGCGGTGGCAGCATCTCAGGGATGCTTGGCTCTGCTGTGGTGGCAGCATCTCAGGGATGCTTGGCTCTGCTGCGGTGGCAGCATCTCAGGGATGCTTGGCTCTCTGCTCAGCATCCTTTCTCTGGCTCTCAGTTAGACCAGACAGAGCCCTTGGTTCATGGGGGTCTGAGACAGGAGGACAGACCATGTCAGGAGGTGGGGGTAAGCAGTCCATTCTCAGTAGCACATGAAATAAAAAAGGATCTGTGTTCTTTTTAAATTCCTGCTTAATTGTCCAATTCATGGATATGTCATATGTTCTTCAGCCTCCTGATGGGCATTTGTATGCTTGAGCCGAACTCTTGGCTATTTTCAGTAAAACTGGAATAAAATTGCCAAGTTAATTTCCAAGGGTCAAGTTGATAATTAAGGAGAAAACCACAATTCTCTGCTTGAAACTGCCAGTGGTTGTGAAGTTTTTTTTTTTTTAACTTAAGAGTTGGGGTACTTTTAGTTTTTAAATAAGATTTTCTATTAGTAAGACTTTTAAGATTATCTTAGCTATGGTAACAACACCTCTTATTTCTGACTTGTGAATATTATATAGTTAATTTAGGAGTTTAGATTTAAATGAGTAATTGTTACTATAGTAATTTCATATCTAAGTGTTAAACTTGAAAATGGCAATATGATAGCTGTAAGTTTCAGTTAAGGGCAGTAATGGAGGAAAGGGTGTTTGTCCCTAGGCCCTCTTTCCACTTGGTCCACAGCTGTGTCTGAAGTGTAGTCACTGACATGCCGCAGTGCCTGGGCTGTGTTGATTAGTACTCATGACGTATGTGTGCTTGTGGGGTGTGTGTGTGTGTGTGCGTGTGCACGTGCGTGTGCGTGTGTGCTTGTTTATGTGCTCATGGTTTGTGTGTACTTGTCTGTATGTGTGCTCATGGTGTCTGTGTATGTGTGGTCTGTGTGTGTATATATGTGTGTGTGTGTATGATATATATGTGTCTATATATGGTATATATAATATGTGCATGTGATATTTATATTATGTGTATATGTGTGTGTGGTGTGTATATATGTATGTGTGTATGGTATACATATACCATATGTATTTTGGTGAGCCTACTGTGTGTGTGTGTGTGTGTACTGATACATACATATGTGCAGGTACACTGGGTGCTCATGTAGGGGCCAGAGGTTGACATTAAGATGTCTTCACTTGCTTCTTCACCCTATTTTTAAAAACAGTCTCGCTGAACCGTGAGCTCACTGGTTTTGGTTAGACACGGTTGGCCAGCAAGCACCCAGATCTGCCTGTGTTTGTCTATTCCTCTGGGGCCAAGGTTACAGGCACATGCCACCATGCTTATCTTTGGATGTGGGTGTTGTGGATCTAAACTCATGTCCTTATATTTGTAGGACAAGCCTGTATCTATGGAGCCATCTCCCTGGACCAGGGCTTGTTTCCAGTCCGTCACCACAGTCCACTGCTGGCTGTGGCGTCTGTTGTTTCTTACTCTGCAGTGTACACTGTGAAGTTAGGCCGTGAGCAGGAGGCTTGGAGATAGGAGCAGGTGTTTTCCTTAGACTGTATTGGTCCAGTGGGAGTCTGAATAATAAGTGTCGTGTGCAGTAGAGCCTAGGCCACGTCAGAGGTGGAGCATCTCCTGTGCGCCTTGTGCTCCTGATCTTCTGTGGGGCAGAGGGAGATGAGTGAGGAGAAGTAGCTCGAGAGTAGAGAAATGATGAACAAAAGAAGAACAGAGGAAAGAAAAAAAGTCAGGAAAATGATCGTACTTGCCAGAGTCCGTGTCACTTAGAGATAAAGGGAATTTCTTTCGTCTTAAATAATAGGAAAATTTTGTTCACTCAGTGGAGTGAGCTTCGTGAACGGGGCTGGGATGCCGGTCAGCGGGAGGGCATTTGCCTGGCTTTCGTGAGGTCCTAACTTCATGCTGTAAGGAGAAGTGCTGTGCCTAACATGTCACGGGGGTCGGAGCCTGTTTTCTGAAGTAAATAGGCTCCCAGGAGTTCTTGCTTGTATTGTCTACTTTCTGATTTTCTTTTCCTGTAACGGTGTAGTTAAATGGAGGTAAAGTATGTATCTAAGCTTTGAAGCCTAAATTTGATAGAAATATATAAGAATTTATAGAGCATCGATTTAGATTTAATCATTTTTTTTAACTGTGAAAAGACTTATTGTTTGAAGAAGCATGCACTCTAGCTGTCAGTACACATGAAGTCAGCTTTGCTGATGCACGGGGTGGGGGTGGGGCTAGCCTGGAAGTTTTGGTACATTATCTACCCAGGTGTTAAAGTATCTGCAAATGCTCTGATTTTAATCAACTCTATTTATGCATGTTGTATGAACACATTTGTTCACTTAACTGTCTATAGAACTATTATAAATTATTGCGTTTACTGTATATATTACAAGTGAACCAACGGGAGACCACAAACAACGATGTGCTTTTTCTCTTTGCTGGATTTTTGGTGGCGTTGTTTTGAGACTGTCTTAATCTTTAACTCACATTGGCCTTGGACTCTCTTTGGTAGCCCGTGTTGAACTTACATCCTTTCTGCCTTAGCCTCCTGAGGGAGTGATTTCAGGCTGACACAATAGGCATTGAGCACTCCTGTCCAAGATGCACTTTAGGAAGCCCTAGTGATTGTGATCTGCCAGCAGAGGGAGGAGCGGAAGAGGCAGCAGGCAGGTGATCGGCAGAACGTGTGTCTGCTGATGGCCTCAGGGTGTTAGTAAATGGTGAACATGCAAAACATAGCTTTCTCTGTAGCCTGGAAACTTCTCTATGAGTCTGTATTTTTCCCATCCATCTTGTGAGGCAGCTGTGCAGGGGCAGAGGCAGAGTGCTTGAATAGTGGTCATCAGAGAGTAGTCATGGCATATTTGTAGAAAATGGCCAATAATAGTTACTCGCTTATGTGGATACTTAGAGCAGAAAGATCTAAATGAAAGCCATGTCTCCTAGCTGGGAGACAAAAGTTTTGAATACAGTAAGGTACCAAACTTGAGAATATGAGTAAGGTCTGCACAGATATGAGAAAAAAAATGACTTGTGAAACATAGAGAAGAAAGCCTCGGTGTGGTGGTTTGAATAGGAATTTGCTTGGCCCATAGGGAATGGCACTATAAGGAGGTGTGGCCTTGAGGGGGAGGTGTGGCCTTGGAGGAAGTGTGTCACTGTAGGATGGGCTTTGAGGCCCTTTGCTCAAGCTATGCTCAGTATGGCACTCAGTCTCCTCCTGCTGCCTGCAGATGTAGAACTCCCAGCTCCTTCTCCAGCACTGTGTCTGCCTGCATGCTGCTATGTTGCCCACCATGAAGATAATGAAACTCTAAGCCAGCCCTAATTCAGTGTTTTCCTTTCTAAGAGTCGCTATGGTCATGGTGTCTCCTCAGAGCAATGAAACCCAAACTAAGACACTCAGTAAGAAAACAGTGTAAGAAAATTGGTTGATGTAAGATGCTTGTGTGCTCACCACAGACGTGCTGCTGTGGTGAGTAGGGTCTGTGCTCACCACAGACGTGCTGCTGTGGTGAATAGAGTCTGAGAAGTATTCATCGCGCTGCTGTTTCTAAGGAAGCAGGTGCTAAAGGAACTAATGAGCTGTGGTTTACTGGAGGAGAGATTATCTTCAAGTGCTCCCTCCTCATGGACTGAGGAGATAAGTGCGTTTTCCTGTGTTCTGTGAATACCGTGGGAGGGAAAGGCTGCTGCTAGACCAGAAGCTCTGGGATGGGAGTGCCTTTCCCTCACGTGTGTCTGCATCCAAGGGCAGCGGAAGCCCATTACAGCAGTAGGCACACCCCCAGTTCTGGACACTGTCTCCGGCTGTACAGTGAGGTAGCTAACAGTTTCCATCTGCAGGCCTGACCCAAGGCATTGGAGATCAAGGACAACATCACTTCGGGGCTGATGGTTCTTGGAAGCTCAGGTCACTGAAGGGTTTGAACCTTGGCACACGCTGGGGTGTGGTTTGAGAACTGGAGACTTCTCTGTAGGGAAGGTGAATTGAGTGTGTCGGGTGGTAGGCACACCTCTCTGGCTCTTTTCCTGTCCTCAGCTGCTGTTGGGAGAGGTAGAGAGAGCTTTGTATCTCTGAGGAACCTTTCACTCTTGGACAGATGTAGTGAGGCTCCAGATAAGGAGCCTGCTGGAGATCAGTTCTGGGCTGAGGGAGCAGGCAGGCTCTGATGCCCAGGGACTGCCCAGCATGGACTGAAGACTTGAGTCCATTTGGGAGACCCTGAAATGTAGCGGAACGGTACAAGCCCAAGAGTGACCCAGCATTTGGTTCCAGCTCATCATTGCTGTCAGTAGGTAGTGGCTCTGACTGCTGACCACTCTTGCCTTGCTCGTCACGCCTCCCAGCTGACTGTGATGGGGCCCCATCCATCTTCCTAGCTCCTTAACTACTAAACGTTGCTGGAGCCATCTCACACAGCAGCCTTCTCGTGGCCATGGAGCCACTGCCCCCACCCCAGACTGGGACATCATAGAAGTTATTAACTTCCTTTTCCTGTGTTCTGCCAGGTTGTTAACCTTCCTTTCTGGTCTCTTGAATAGCTGCACTTCCTAGGGGTAGGGGTTACAGAGCTTGCAGCCGATGGTGGGTGAGAGCTGGTTTTGCCGCTGACGGCCTGAGTTCCCTTACCATTCAGCTACACACACCCACACACAGTGTGTGTCTTCAAACATTTGCCGAATAGATGTTTGTCCTCATGATAATTGTGAGAGGGTGAACAAGAGAGACACCTTTACTGTTCCTCAAAAGATGAAGGAGTGAGAGGCCTAAAATAGGTTAGCCGTTGCCCATGCTCCAGTCTTAGCTGGAAAGCTGACTTTGAATTCGGATCGCTGTAGCCTCTCATGTTTGCAGCATGGCTATTTAACCATTTTGGAGACCTTGAAAAATTGCCAGATGCCTGAGCTGTTACAAAGAGAATTGCCATTGCCTGTCATGTGCGGAGTTCTTGTGAGAGTTAAGTGCCATGTCCAGTGGTACTTGTACCCAGGCGGGGTATCTTATATCTCCTAATCACGGTCTGAGTCTGCAGTGTGACTGTCCATATTTGATCCCTGGTCCGCCACTCTCCTAAGTCCAGCCTACTCTTCTCGGCTGTGCCTCTTTCTTCATTGTCCTTTTCCTTAGGAATGTGACTGAATGTGTCTATGCAAGGGTTGAAAACAGGGCCTGTAACGCCGTGGATATTACTATAATAGTAATATAATAGTAACACCGTGGTGTTGCTATTGCCAGATTTTCATATCCTTTCTGAGTTACAGTTACACTTCCTCAGATGAGCCCTAGCTGAAGGAAGCAGTCATTCCCAAGTGGCGGGACCAGGGAGCAGTTTATGTGAGACTTCTGCCCACCTCCCAAACCCCCGCCCACCCCGTCCAATATCCCTTGAAGCCCATGTTAGGACTGGTGTGCTTGGTGTGTGTTTTATGCAGGGCTGCTGGTTAGTCTTCAGCCTCATGAACTGCATCTGTGACAGGCAGACAGTGTGTCTTGAAGGAGCTTTGACACGTAAGACATGATTTCCCTGAGTGCCCTCTCGACAGTGGAGCTGACTTCTACTTCTGCTGTGGTAGGGGTGGGTGGTGGGGAGTATTTATTTGTGTAATGGCAAGGTTTGTTTCTTGACTATCCCATTTTCCTAAAAGAGGCGCTGAAACTCAGTTCTCTTTTTTTTTTTTTTAAGATTTATTTATTTTATTTATGAGTACACTGTCGCTGTCTTCAGACACACCAGAAGAGGGCATCAAATCTCATTACAGATGGTTGTGAGCCACCATGTGGTTGCTGGGATTTGAACTCAGGACCTCTGGAAGAGCAGTCAGTGCTCTTAACCACTGAGCCATCTCTCCAGCCCCCGAAACTCAGTTCTCTTAATGGTCCTGACTGCTAAGGTCTAACCTCTTCCCAGGCAGGCAGGCCTTGGGGTTGGTTATTTAGTGGTGACTCTGTTCAGAAGTAATGCATGTGCCATGCCTCAATTCTGTGTGCTCCAAATTTGTTCCGTAGGAAGCCTGCGGTCTTGCAGTTCTTCGGACTGCTTTAGCAAAGTGATGCCACCCAGGAAAAAGAGAAGACCTGCCTCTGGAGACGACTTATCTGCCAAAAAAAGCAGGCATGACAGGTAGGTACAAAGGCCACCGACACAGCATTCACAGAGGTGTGAGTTCCACCCCATACAGTGAAGGGCGCTGTTGCCTGCAGATGGGCCGGAGTCCTGTGTTTCCGTAGGTGACTCTTCAAAGTGTACTTATTAATGATGCTTAGTTTACGTCTTGGTTTGTGTTTAAGAAAAAATTAGGCAATTTGAGTTATTAGAAATTAGTATCATCTGATCCATTGGATTTTCTGAAACTTGGGTGGAACATGAGTTTATTTCCATTGAAGCCTGGCTGGCAAAGACAGGACTGGGTGTCTGTCCTTCAGAGAGGGGCTCACTAGCTGCAGCCACAGGGCCAGAGGGAAGCAGCTGTTTTGAGTGTCCTCCTGGATTGTCAGCCAGTAAAAGTTTCTTCTCATAGGGCTGAGAATTTAATGAGAACTGAAAAACAAGGCTATCTAAATAATACCCAGACAGGTCACATGTTGACCATGGTGATGATGCCAACACGCTTTTAGTGGTTTTCTTAGGTATCTTTATTGTTTTGCCTTTGATCTTAATAAGTAAGTCTTTCTTTCTTCACGTGACAGATTTCATGTGTTCTTTTATCCGTGTCTCCGTCTTCCCCTTTCCTGCTGGGTGGGTCGTTTCCCCATGGGCTGTAGTTCCCATCTGAAATGGAGGGTTAGAGGAGCTGGCTTGCGTTCTTGCTGTCAAGCTTCATTTGTTATAACTCAATTGGAGAAGCAGAGATAGAAAGCAAAAATGAAAATAATGCCACAGTTAACATCTCAGCAGAAAATGTTATGCAGGAGAAGAGAGTGACTTCTAAGATAATCACCAGCTGTCTTCCGGCCAGTGGTTTTCAATTTTACAAAGCTAAGTACTTTTGCATCAGGGGACTGATAAATTCTCATACTCATGTAAGCATCTATGCTGTATTTTTTTTTCTTCAGCATAATTTGGTATGATATTATTGTGCTGTGGAAAAGCCAGCTTAAAAACTGGCAGTTAGGTGAAGTTTTTGAGTCTGATTCTTGGCCTTTTAGTGACTTTATTTAGATATCCTTAAGTTAGTACATTCTAAGTGTCTAATTCAGTGTGGTTTTAAGTTAACTAAGTTGTGTAGACTGTCATTACAAGTCAGTGCTGGAACATTTCCACCGTCCCAGCCAGTCACTCCCGTCCTTTATGGCAGCCGCGGCTCGCTGTGTCAGCAGCTGTCTACGTGGTCTTCTGGGTTTCGTGTTTCTTAGTTAGCATGCTGTTTTTGAGTCTCATCTGTATGATAATGTGCACCAATATTTCTTTTAGCTGCTACATTATTTTTCCATTGTATGGTTTTGGGCAAATTTTATTTATAGTGAATTCTTAATTTATTGCTGCCATACCAGAGAACTACAAGTTTATTGATGACTAACAGGCTCTGAGCTAAGATAGGAATACTCTTACCCCTTTCTCTGAGCCCTAAGCTAGCATCCTCTGTCTCTAGCTGGGATACCTACCTTATGTAGGAGAAAGAGAACTTGGGGTTTGCAGTTTTGATAACTTAATACTTTTCAGCATAGTGTTCTAGAGGTAGTAGATGTCAGCATTTCTGTCAAAGATCTACACAGGTAATCAGTCTTTCACAAGTAAATGTTTATATAAAATCATAGAGAATTATTTAAGATCTTTATATTGTTAAATAAATGAAAATTATACCCATAAATATTAATATACCTGGGTATCTGCGATAGGTTAAACTATATACACGTTTTGTATCTAGCTTGCAATCTGAAGCCCCTGCTCCTGTCTGCCTGTGTGGGAGGCTCTCCTCAGGCATATCACAAGATGAGGAACTCCTGAGCTGCAGGATGGGCCTGCTCTGTCATTTATGTCTCCAGCCCTGGCTGCCTAGCAGGCTTACAGTGGGAACTAGGAGTCAGGATCTGTTCTCTCTACTGAAGAGCAAAGGTTATGTTAATACAGGAACCACCAGAGACACATTTTCTTCAGCCTTGCACCTGGATTAATTTTGTTCTAGAAGATTGGACATGAGTTGTTGTTTCTCTTCATTTGCGTAAGGTTTTCTGGCGTCATTACTACAATTTCTTCCTTAGCCTATGCCTGTGTTTAACTCATGACACAGAAACCAGAACTTAATAGAGAGATAGGAATAATTAATGTTTTTTAAGGATAATTTTTAATGCCTAATTTCCTGCCATATTTTACTTAGAATCTCTCTATAGTGAATTCTAGGTTGTGAGGCAGAGGAAACTTTATTTTATTAAATAACTAATCTATTTAATTCTAATTGATTATTAATAAGATAGTTGTATTAAGTGCTTACTGTTTAATTCTTTATTAAAATATGGGCATATTTCTGCACTAGTTATGAAACTGCTAATGCTTAAAAATGCAGGAAGTAGAGTGTTTAAAATATACTTAAGCCCTGGTGGAATCAATGGCTGATTTAGGCCAAAGTGAAAATTATCTGTTACTTGAACACAGTGTCTTTAAATAACATAAAGCTGCTTTTTCACTTTGTAGCATGTATAGGAAATACGAGTCAACTAGAATAAAGACTGAAGAAGAGGCCTTCTCCAGTAAGCGGTGCCTGGAGTGGTTTTATGAATATGCAGGTAGGTAATGACCTGTGTCCTGTAAAACTGATCCATAGGAAAATAGAGGCATCTTAGAAGAGGTTACAGAATTCTAAAGCATGTACTTTTAAAAGCTGTGTGTGCGTGTGCGTGTGCGTGTGCGTGTGCGTCTGTTGGGGTGGGGTCAGGGCTGGTGGCAGAGAGTCGGAATGGAGGAAAGAGATGTAGTTGGAGCCAATCACTAATACCCTATTTATAGCCAGCAGCCCAAGAACTGAGAACTGTGTGTGGACAGGAACTGAAAAGATGAAGTGTCGTTGGGAGCAACCCTTCATGGCTACGAAACCTAGTTAGAGGACCGATGCTGGGAATGACCTGGTTTAAGTCTCCATGTTAAAGTAGGCATTGTTCTTTTAGACTCCATCGTGGTGCAGTGGGGTCTCTGTATACCTAGTGTCTCTGTTTTGGAAAATCATAAGGCAGAAAGTGTTTACTTTGTCCTTTAAAGTGTCTTGAGGTCGGGCCCTGTGGTCTGTGCCCTGTGCTGAGAGGGCGAGGGAGAGTCTCGTCTGGCCGGAGGTTTTCTGACCTTCCGTCTTCCTCACTATATTTTAGGCCTTTTCAACCTGACTATTGAACTTTTGCACAATCGCCTTGACTGTTTGAACAGCCTTCACACCCACTCTTGTGTCACCAGTCTTGGTTCCAGAGTGAGTCCCATGTATCTCTGGTTGTCTTACTTAGAAGTGAATGGAGCAGCTCATATATGCTCTTTCCCCTGGCATCCCCCTGCCTGCCACTGGAAACTCCCTGCTCCCTCCAGGATGCCATTCCTCTGCAGGGATGCCTTCTCCACTTTCCCATCTGACAGTAACCCTTCTTCTTACTTCCTACCCATAGTTGCTGACCAGTGAGATCCAGGTTGGGGCTCCTGAGTTACAGCAGCTTTCAGCTTTCTCTGTGCTTCTGCAGGGCTTTGGTCATAACTTGTTTTGTCCAACTTCAAGTATAAAAGTTGCTTTCCCTTTTTCCTTGCTCTCACTGGACCCGTTACTCTGTTGAGAGTGTTGCCACTTTCACCACAGAGACAGACCATGGGGAACAGGTTCTGCACTTTGCAGACATCTGCGGGAGAAGAGTGTTTTTTTGTGTGTGCATGGGGTGGGGGCGGTGCTGTTGAAAGGGCACAGTCCTGACTCCCTTCGTTTTCACTCAGTGTAGCATCTTTGTGACATTTCTCTGTACATGTAGTGACGTCCCAGCTGGATTCTGTGTGCAGGGCATGGGCACTGGTGCAGACACGTCCTGGTCCTGGAGTGTGTCTGTTTTCATGCTTTGTCAGAACATGGATCTTTGAAGACATGCTTAATTGGATGTCCAAGGGCTTGACAGTTTCCACAGGTGCAGGGAAGGCTGAGTGGCTGAAGAGCTCTTCCACATTCTTAATGAGTTAGGAGGAGAGTTGGTGGCCTACACTGAGTCATGTTTATCTCTATGAAAATATGTTACAAAATGGAAATTTTAAACAAAACCTGGCATAGTAACATAGCTATTTTTTGGGTGTATGTCTTTCTTTAAATGCAGATGAAAAAAGATCTTTTTTTTTTTTTTTTTTTTTTTAAAAAAAAAGAGGGCAGGATGGAATTGCCGTCTTGCTTGCTCTTTTTTGACTTCAGAAGCTGACATTTTGGAATTAAAAGTCCAGCCACGTTACTTAGCTTCCTGGGGGTCCCTGCTGGGCAGCTGTAGACACTCATCCCTGCAGAGTGTGTGAGTTTATCTGTGAGTGGGTGAGTTTATCTGTGTGCTCATAGTCCCTTACACCCTCTTCCCATTTTATCCTTCTCTTCCTGTGTGCATTGTCAGTAGGAAAAGTGCCTTCAGATTGGGAGTGACTGAAAGTTCCAGCTGGCACCTCCCTCCCTCCCTCCCTCCCTCC